CCGTGAGAAAGAGGGGAAGGAGATCAGGGGCCACTCTGCCCACCTTGGAGCTCACCTGCCTGCCAGGCCGGGGCCACCACGGATGGGCGGGACACGGGAAAGAACTGAGCAAGCCTGGGACGTCAGAAAGCTGGAGGATGGTTTTAGCAAGGGCTGGTTTTTGCCTGAAGTCACCCAGTTTAGTAAATGACAGTCAGGACTGAAACTCAACTTTAAGGACTCCTAGTTCAGGGCTTCCCCTCTCCTGTCTGCTGATTTCCTCCTGCCTGTGTGCCCAGCGATCACGTGTGAACATACACACATACACACACACGCACCCGCTAGCTTTCTTGCTTTGACTCTCCCTGCCTCTTTCCCAAACACACATGGTAGGAATATTGTGTATATACTTCATGTGTTCCTAAACTGTACAATGGGATAGCGTTATCTTATTCACCTTTTAACTTTTTTACCCAACATTGTAAGGTCTATTCATGTTGATAAAGTAGTCTAAATTTTTCCTTTATTGTATATAACATTTTGTTTATTCCTTTCAGCACCTAAGTCACGTCTCAAGCTTAATTGTTACAATCACTCTTGTACAGATATCTGATTGGAACTGCATTAAATTTATAGATTTAACTTGGGGTAGTAAAGCTGGAACACAACCAAAAGATGCATTTTCCATGCATAGACGCTCCACAAGTCTCTAAAAATCAATGCACAAATGAGAAAAAGGGGGCATGGACAGATAAAAAGGCAGTGAAAACAAGTGACTCAATGCCAAATAAAAATTGTAGCGCTTGTGGGCTGGGAGTGTAGCTCCCAGAGCGTTTGCCAAGCTTGTGTGAAGCCCTGGGTTCAATCCCCAGCACGGGGAAAGAAAAGAAATTTCAACACTTTGGAGAGTATTCACTTTAAGCATAAAGGAGGCAGCCCCAGGAGGGATTTGACTCATACAATGCACTTGGGAATGTTTTGCATTATTTTAGTGTCATTTTTAAAAAGAGCAATAGTCTGCTATGTATTTATTTATTTATTCGAGGTAATTTGAGGCTGACGCAGATTCCCAAGACTGGCTACACCAGGAAGGCAGGAGGCAAGGGAGGGAGAGGGAGCAGGACGGCCCTTCACCCACTCCATGAGCTCCAGGCCCAAACAGGGAAACTGCCGGTCCGGGCGACTCCCCCCGGAGTGGAGAAGCGCTGAGCGCACCGCGCCGGGCGTCCGAGGAGAAGCCGCGGGGCGCGCAGGCGCGGGGCGCGTCGACTCGCCCAACTCCTTTCGCGGCCTGGGACGGTTGCCCTCGGGGCACCTGCTCAGGGCTTAGCCACGGCGGGCAGAGGGGGGGGCCCTGCCCTCTCAGACCCAGCACCTGCACCTCCCCCGGCCGGCTGCCTTCGGACCCCTTCCGGTGCCGCCAGGGGACCCCATAATTCCCCTCCCGGAAGCCCTCGGGGCCCCTGCTCCCCAGGCTTCTCCCTGGAAGCGGCCGCCCCTTGCCTCGGGTTGGCCCACACGGCCACACATCTAGTTCGCGTCCCGGCGAGGTCCGGAAGGTACCGAGAGCGGGCGGCCGCCCCACCCCATCGCCGCCGGTCTCAGCTGGACCGGCGCTCGGGTCCCTTCGCTCCTAGCTGACCCTTTTCTTCGGAAGGAGGAGACCGTGGAGAAAGGCAGCTGGCTCGGTGCAGGGGCTCCAGCTCCCCTCTGCCCCGCCGAGCACGCGCTGTGGGGTAGGGAGGGTGGGAGAGGCATTTTCAGGCTTGTGAGAGAAACAGGACCCCGATGTGATCCCCGACCCTGAAACCGGCCGGGTTCGTTAGGACCGGGACTTCGGGCCCGCCCTTCTGGGGCCCTTTCTGCGCCCCTGTCCATCCCCCATCTCTCTGGCCAGCCTCCCCACAGCCTAGGCCAGGCCGGCGGGGCTCCACACGCCCCTAAATCTCTGGGTCCTGGCCCTAGAGGTCGCCCCCGCAGCGGGGCAGAGGGGCGCGCGGGGTGGGGGGGATGCGGGCGCCTCGGGCCGAGCCCGCGGCCTTTCCACGCCGCCGCCTCCTGTTTCTCCCTGGCCTCCTCTCGCCGCCCCGGCTGGCCCGGATCCGCTCGGCGTCCACCGGGGCCCAGCGGGCGAGAGCGCGCGCCCGGGGAGCGCGGGCCCGGAAGGCGGCGGCGGGGACGAGCGGTTCGTGCGAGCCGGGCCACCCTTCGCCCGCCGCCCTTCCCCGCGGGCCTCCTCGCCGCTGCGGCCAGTGCGCTTCCTTTCACCTCCTTGGGCCGCGTCGCGTTCCCCGGGGGTTTTCTTTGGAAGCGGATTTGCGTTTCCTTTTCGTCTCCTCCCGTGCCCCTCTCCTGCGTCCCTCGCCTCCTCCCGCGCTGCAGCCCTTTCGCGGCGGCCGGGAGCCAGGGCCCAGGCCCCCGCGCCTCCCAGTCCCGGGCGCCCCCGCGGAGAGCGGGCTTCGTCCCAAGCGGGACGCACTGGCCGGGCCCGCACTGCGCACAGAAGCCCGGCGACACCCACGAGCCGCCGGGGGCTGCAGACCACGGACCGCGAGCCGCCCCTAACCGAGTCTGCCGCAGTCTCCCAGGCCGATCGAGAGAGCGGGGAGGGCGGACACACAGCACACGCCGGCAGGCACGCCGGAGCCCAAACGCGCACACGCAAGGAGCGCGGAAGTCCACGGGCCTGCACCAGCCGGCTCACACCGGACTGGGACTGGGACCTGGCCTGGTCGCACACCCTCAGCGGCCCGGGGCGAAGGCACCGCAGTGATCCAGGGTGGGAAGGGGACCGGCCGGGTCCTGCACACCACCCAGGCCAGAACCTCTGCATTGCCCGAGCGGGCAGGGGCTTCCACACTGGCTGCGCCTGGCTCAGGGATGCAGCTCAAACCGGAGTCTGAGCCCCAGGAAAGAGCATCAGAACTGAGAACCCCACGTGCAGCAGACTGAAATGGGCCCTGCACGGGGAAGTGGCCGCGGTGTCAGAGCTTGGGGCAGGCAGGCTCAGGGCGAGGTGTGGATTCCCTCCTGGCGGATCATGCCCAGGGCTAGATTCTGGCCAGGTTCCCATGTGCAGACTGCTATTTGTGTGAAAACAAGCAGCAAGGTGTATATGGTTCTAGGAATGAAAGTAATGTGTGTGCAGATATAGGTAGCAGTGTACACCTAGAGGATCTTTGCAGTTTGTGGACACTGTTTCCAGGTCTGGCTGCCAGCCCAGGCTGCTCTGTGGTGAGGCTGCTTATGGGAGAGCCACATACAAGGATGTATCATCAAGTCACCAAAGGAGGGGACTTGGGCTCCTTCAGGGGGTCTCCCCAGGTAAAGGGCTGAGCTCCTTCTCCAGGAGGTCTGGAAGGCACCCTCTGTAGCAGCAGCAAAAGCTTGGCCAGGTGTGCCTGGCCCATGACAGCCTGTCCGTCCTCAGGCAGCTGATGTGTGTGCAGAACACACTGGACAAACATACAGATCCCTTCAAGGGCATGCACAGGTCCTGGCAACCATGCCCAACAAGAGTCAGACAGCACAGTTAAGGATGTTCAGCTAGATTAGTTCACCAGGGAGGCGAATTTGGTAGAAAAGAAGATGAAGTTAAGAGGTATTTATAGGCTGGGGATGTAGCTAAGTGCTAGCGTGTTTGCCTAGTATGTTCGAGGCCCTGGTTCAATCCCCTGCACCATGAGAGGCATTTATGTGCACACACAGAGTTCTATAGGTTTGGAGCTTAATTTTTTTTTACAGGTGAGCCACTGAAATAGGAGTGTATAGAATAAAAGATGAAGACTGGCCTAGTGAGGCTGTCCAGGCAAGAGTCCATCCAGGGTCCAAACAACTATTCACATCCCCAGGGACAAGCCTGGTGACAAGGAAAAGCCTTCTACTTGCAGTGTACTAGCCACCACGTACACTATCTGAGCCAGGGAGAGCAGGCAGAAGGCAGGGCCATGTCCCTGGTCCCTGTGTGGCATAGAGAACAGAAAGCTTGGCACCTGCTGCAAAAGACGCCTTCCAGACCCTGGAGAAGCAGCTCAGCCCTGTACCCCAGGAAGACCCCCCCAAAGCAGCCCACTCTCCATTCTGTGGTCACCAGCCTGTCACTTGGTCTGATTTCCACGTTTCTCAGTGTCTTCTGCTGTTTGTCTTTCTCTCTCTGCCTCTTCAGCGCTTTCACTATTCTGTATTATGTGGCTACAAAGAAGGAGAAACAGCTGGATCCTGGAGCAGATATAAATACCAATGCTCTTGATAGCTGCAGAGACCATGGGTGACAAAAACCCATCCGATGAGATGCTGATCTCTACATGGACATGACAGAAATTTTTATTTTCATGTAAAAATCTAAGTACGGTTTTGAAATTTTGTTGCTTTTCAGTCTGTTGGCTGCTGCCTCTTTGGATGCCTGTCTCTATTTGCTTCTCTCAGGGACATTTCTTCTTCATTATGACACTCAAAGCCTCGGACTCTTCCTTAGAAGAACCCTCCCTTTCCCCTGTACTGCACTCTTGGAGGGGCCAAGGGTGTTTCTGGGGCTGAGGGAGCTAGACAGCCACACTGCACACAGAGGTGGAGAGAGACACTGGGAACTTGACAGAGGCTGTACCTCCAGGGACATAAAAACGGCTTAGGGGTAAAGGAGAGATGCTCCCTTAGTGGAGCGGGGAGGCTCTGAAGTGCCAGTGGCTGCTCCACGGCTGCAGCAGGGCAGAGAATAGGGACCCAGCTCTAGAGCAGGCCCTGGGGAAGATAGGGGAAACCATCCTCACAAACTAAAAGTTTCGGCTCTCAGTCAGGATCAGCGACAGGGCTCCTGGGATGATGAGCACTCCCTGGAGATCCTGTTGCTGAGGGGAGGACTGACCCACACCAACCCCAGCCCCAAGGAAGAGAAAGGGCTCGGGGTTCAGGCTGGGTGGGAGAGAGGAAGGTCTGGAGTCAGCGGACCTAGTCCCTGGTGCTTGTGTTCATGGGTGGATTGGAGTAAATGAGTGAACCAAAAGCGCAGCTGGGGTGCCGGGACCATGGGTAGGGGCAGCCTGAGGGAAAGGGCTGCATCTGGAGGCACGGGCTCTGACGAGGCTCCAAAGTGCGGGAGCCGGAAGAGCCCATCCCTTGACCCCCAGGTAAACAGGTCCTGGTTTCCTAGCCAGACCTGGGGTCCCAGCGCCCCAGGGACTCATTCAGAGTTGGCTCCCGCACTCCCTGTGAGCCTGGGGTTTCTCTCTCCCTCTGTCTCTCCCTCCCTCTCTCCCTCTCTCCCTCTCTCCCTCTCTCTCTCTCCCTCTCTTTCCTTTCTCTCCCGGTCTTTGCTTCACAGCTCTTCGGCCTGCATTTGTCTCTGTTTTCAGGTCTCTATCTCTCCATCACACCCCCTCCCTCTTTGTTAATTCAAAGGCTTCACACTGAGGCCCTCCCCACTCCTCCCAGAATAACACTGAGTAAAATGAGATAAAACCCACCGCCCGCCCGTAGGTTTTTTTCCTGTCCTATTCAGCCCCCTCCTCCAGGGCTACAACCCCCTCTTATAATGTCAGATAATTGCTGGTGTGCAGCTCTGAGAGCCAGAGCTGATACCAAGGAAGGAGAGGGGGAGAGAAATAAATAATCATCTGCCTCCATTCAGCGTATATAGGTTACCTGATTTGCATATATGCTAATAATGCTATAATTACCCTGCTGTTCTGGCCTGTGATCAAGTTCTATAAATATGTAGGATAGCAAAGCGAGGCCTAGCAACACCACCCCCAAAATCATCGCACATATGTCTGTATATGTGTTCGGGTGGCCTCAGTCTCAGAGCTGTTCTTTGTTATCGCGCACGGAGCCCGGCTCTTCCGCCTTTCAGCCGCCTCTCCTGTGTTTCGAGGCAATTCCGAGGGAGGAGGAATGAGAAAACATGCTAGGTTACGTTTGATTCTCAATATTAATTTCATTATCAATGTTATGGCTATTTTGAGGAAGATCAAAGATATCCCAGAATCACTGAATTTGCTATCAGCACCTGAATGCTCCCACCCCCACAGGCCCCCCTTGGGGTGCAGGTTGGGGTTAGGAAGACCCCAGTTTGGCCTATTAAGTGCTGGCTCCAGGAGAGGAAGTGGATTTGCCTCACCCCAATCTACCCCCACTCGAGCGAGCCAGCATCTGAGCAAACCCGGGCAAAGCGCACAGGGGGTGTGCAGATTTTTGGGCGATGTGGATGGTGGTAAAAATGGGGAGGAGACTTAAAGGAACATAAAAGAGGCAATCCACAGCTGTCTGCTTTAATTATAATTATCCCCTCCTGCTTCCTTTCCAACTAATGAGGGGGGAATTTAAATTTTCGCCCCCTTGTTCCCCTCCCCCCTTTCCTGGCTTTGAGGGGTGGGGTGAGTTCAGGGTCCTCCTCCCCTTCCTCCCCAGCCCCTGGTTACTGGGAGAAAGGCAGACTCCAGAGGGCAGTGACAGTATGAAGAGATTTGTAGGAACAAAAGAAGGACAGGTTTGGATTGCTGGACACGTCCCAGAGTTGGAGGGAGCCCCCCATTCCCCTGGCACCCCTCCCATCACCCCCAGTTCCCCAGACAAGGAACTCAATGTCTTCCAGCCAGTGAGAAAGGAGCTAATGGGAGCCCTGGTCTAGAGGGAGGGGAGGCAGAGGTGGGGAGCTGGGGGGTGCAAAATTAGTCTCAAAGGATCTTTATTTCTGAGCTACTGAAGCAGATGTAATCACGGGAGAGCAAAATAATCATAATGGGAGGAATGGGGGAGGGGGGCTGGGCTGCAGTGGGGGGATTGGGCCAGGGGTGGCCGAGAGTTGGGCGGCTGGGAACCTGGAGGGGGAGTCTGTGCCCCCTCTCGCCCCTCTGGAGTCTCCCTACGCTGCTGGGGAAAGAAGGGCTCACTCTGTAAATCTGACCTCAGCCCTCAAAATCCATCCTCGGGAGCGCAGGGCGGCTGGGAGGGGAGAGCCCCTGCCCCGGGAGGGAGGCCGTCCGGAGAGGGGGACGAAAGCCCTGGGGAGGGTGAGAGAGGGAGCGGCAGAGACTCAAGTGGCCTCCAGGTCTGTGGGACAAAAGTTGGAGGGAGGTTTGTGTACGGGAGCAAGGGGAGGGGTCGTGGGGAAGGGGGGCTTTGACAATGAACTTGAGACAAACTTCATTAACATGCAGGCCTGCTGTCTGTCACGTCCAGCTCAGGCCGAGTTCCCATGCAGGCCAGGCGGAGTGGGAGGGAGCGGAAGGGAGGGGCCGAGGGGGGGTGAAAGAGAGAAGACCGGACCATTGTACCACTCTGGGCCCCAGCTCCCACCGAATATCGGACCCCAGCCCTGGAGACGGGCCCGAATTGCGCTCCTGCTCTGAGAGCAAGATGATTTATCTCCCGCTTTGAGCCTAGGGTCCCACCTCCCTCTTCTGTCTAGACTTCCAGAGCTGGCCACCCTCGGCTCTCAGCCTTGCCTGCTGCCTTCCGATGGTCACTTTCTCTTTTGCCACTAAGATCTGGGTTTCCCGCCTGTTCAGCTGACTAGGTTAGGGGGCTGGAGGAGGGAGCACCCCAACCTCCGTGGCAAACCGTGCGCTTTCTGTGAGTCCTCTTCAACAGCCCTCCCAGCCTCCTCATGCCCACCGTGGAACCACTCCCCCAAGTGAAAGCTCAGAGGAGCCTGTGACTGGGCTACTTCTGTCCCGACCTTTCCCTCCTTTCCTCTGGGGACCAGGGGGACCTGGAAGAACAATAGCAGCCCTTAGCCCCCTCCTCTTCCAGCCTCAGGTTAGAAAAGGCCGCAGGGGGAGGTAACAAAGGCCACTTCCCACACAGGCGGCAGGGAGGGGCTGCATCAGTGGGCTGTGATTTTGGCGGTGCTGATGTCTCCAGATAGGGCAGCACCCCCGTTTTGCTGCCTTTCGGGGAGAGCACCAAGAGAAAGAAAGAGAGAGGCAAATGAAATTCCTGAATGGATAGACAGATGCTACGTCATGAGCTGCATCCTCCACTCCACAAGAGGCCAGGAGCTGGGGGAAGACAGGCAGTCCGGCCGGTCGCAGGGGCCCACGCTCCTTGGCGCTCCTCGGGAGGCTGGTAAGTGGCCACTGGGGTCCAGAGAGGACCCTGGCTCCCTCAGACGCCTGAGCTGGGGTGGGAAGGGACCTCCTAAAGGGAGTCAGAGCACCATCGCCCTGCTACTCTGCTACTGGCTAATGGAGGCTGGTTCAATGATGACAGAAAGAAAGGGCTGATAAAAGATTCAGGGGGACCCCAGAGGGGTGAAGCTGGTGTCCTGACGAGGAGCTGGCCGCGGGCGGAGCTTCACCTCCTGCGGCCTGGGCATGTACCGAGGAGCAGTGGCTCTGCCCGCTGCCCTAAGCGCCTCTGCCCCTCCTTCCCCCGGCCCCTGCCAGCCCAGACAGCCCACTAAGTTTGTCAATGGGATTGGAGGGGGAGCTTTGGGGTCACGTCACGGTGCTACTGATCCTATTAATCCGCCCCTCCCTTCTCCCCGCCAGACATGGCCAACATCTTAATGCTGGCACCAGAGCGGAGGCAGGAGGGCAGGCTGTGGTGGAGGTGGAAGGGAAGAGAATACTGCTTCTGAATTTGGGCTTCCGAGCTTCCTTCCTCCCCGTGGCTCCTATTCCCTTCTGCCCAGACTCTAGGTTTTAGGGGAAGAAAAAGTCTGAAGGGAAGGACCCACATTTCCAGGAAGGTGGAGAGCAGAATTGAGAAAAACATCCAGAAAGATGTTATAGAGATTTAGATTATTTCATTCCCCCTCTCCTCACCCCTTTTCCTATGGGCTGGCAGGGGACCTTCCAGGCAAGCAAGGGGTTTCTCGGATGCCTGGGCTCAGATGGGGAGAGCCCAGCTCCAGCCCCTTCCCCAAGCCTTAAGTGGGGGTGGTTTGTCTTTCTGGTGTTGTTTTAAGAAGGGCCAGGGCGGCGAGAAGGAAGCCATTCTCCTGCCCGGAGCTGTGCAGGTCAGAACAGAGCCAGGATCTGGTTCCCCAGAGGCTGAGGTGCCAGTGTCATAGTGCACACGGGACTGTGCCCCCACCACTGTGTCCCCAGGGCAAGGGTATGGTGGTGCCCCTGTGGGTGGTGGGGTGCAGGGCAGTGGTCAGTGAGGAGAGGTGTAGCTATCCCACAGACACAAGAACTGCTGCTAATTCGGGTGGAAGAAGGAAGCACCAGTTGTCCTGGAGCCTGTTTTCAGGCTGGTCAGATAGTGTTAGGTAGGGACAGAGCAGCCCTCTAAGACAGGAGTTTCAGACGGAAGCATCTCTTTATGGGTTGGATGGGCTAGCAGATCCTCGGCTCGGCTCGGTCAAGTGAGTCTTTGAGCGAGTGGAAAGTTGGGGATATCCAGAGCACCCCTCCTAGAAAGCAGGCTTGGACTTGAGGCTTATTCCTGCTTCCCAGTACACACCCCCTTTCTGATTCCCCCTGCAATGAGTACCCTACTTTCTTGGTTAGTTGTGTGGAATTGAGTTTGAGGTAAAAGAATCCATCAGCTTACCCCAACACGCGCGCACGCGCACACACGAGAACACACCCACACTCATCAACACACCATACCAGCATTTTAGGAGTTTTGTTATCTATGCACATCATTCCCCCAAACCCTAATTTAACCTGAAAGCGAAGTACTGGGAAGACTACAAAGGATGGACTGAGTTCTGTGCCCAACATTAAAATAATAAAAAACAACTGATTTGTATTCATACCTTTTGTGTTTGTGAAAAAGGAGAAGGCGAAAATTGATAGCTACTGATGTCGTTGTGGATCCTGAGAGGCACACACACACAGATAGGCGATAGGTAGATAGAGAATGACAGGGAAGGCTGGGGAGAGCTGGTGAGATAACAGACAGAGACTAGCTTCGTCTGCGATGCCCACCGCACTTTACAGTTAATAATGTCATCAGATCCAGACAGACAAGACCCCCTCACCCAGACCCTTCACTCTGTCCACAGCACGTGCTCTGGTGGACCAGGAGCAGCAGCAGCCTGGGAGGAGGCAGGGTCTGCTGGGTGGGAATTATTAGCGACTCTAAATTGAAGACAGATTTCCACCGTGGCCTCAGCTCAAAACCCCTGGGCCTGAAGGTTTTGGATGGCAGAGCAGGAGGGTGTGAGAAGAAGGCCAGATCAGAGTCACCCCGATAGGCTGGAGCGGCAGGGCCCTGCCCAGCCTGCAGTCCAGGCTTTTCTCTTTCAGCCTGCGGGATGCCCTGGAGCCCCGCAAAGGAAGAGGAGAAGCCAGACACCCAGGTCCTGGGGTCGCAGTGCCAGGGACGTCGAAGGAGTCTGGGGCTGCTGGGGAAAAGGCACCCAAGGCCTCTGACCCTTGTGTTCTCCTTGCAGGAGCTGGGCGGCTGAGAAGGAGTGGCCTCGTTTGTTCCTGGTGTCATCGTAGGTGGCTACCTTTGGCTGTTGGGTATTTATTTTCTTCCTTATTGTTTGTGGTGGTGGTGGGGCTGGGCCAGGGAAAGGGTAGCTGGCTTTATCCCCTGTGTTTTCTCCAGTCTCCTCACCCACCCACCCCCCTGCTTCCCCGTCTGTCTACTCTGCAGTGAGTCCTATGTAGTTGGTGACAACGGAACATAACAAGGTAGCTTGGGAAGAAAAAGCCACCCTGGTCAGCTCTGACTGTGCCGGAGAGGAGAGGCAGGCATGCATCTGGGAGCTCCCTCTTCCCCGGCAGGCTCCTGAGGATAGAGGGAAGGTCAGTGGACCTGGCAGAGGGGTTGGGCTGGAGAGGGGAGCACATCTACCCTGTGTGGGTGACAAGGTGAGAAAGGAGGGTGATGCTGGTAGAGGTGCATGGGCCAGAAGTCCCCGTGAGCAGGAGCAGGTGTGTTGCCATCTGTAAGTGTCAGGAGGGAGGGGTACTGCTGCCATACAGGTGGATTTGCCCTAGCATTTGTGATTAAGTTTGAGTGTGTGTGTGCACTCACGTGGTCCTTGCACGTGCATCCTTATGCCCCTTAAGGAGGCCTTTTGCCGCTGTCACTGTAGGGGTCTCACAGAAAGGGTCCAGTCTGGAAGAGTCAGCTGAGCTTCTCCAGCCTTTCCAGGCCCCCGGGGCCGGTGAGCAGTGTGAGGCTCAAGGCCAGCCTGGTGGTGTGTAGACTGCCGGCCCCTCCACCGGAGGGAAAAACGGTCTTGGGGAAAAGAATGGTACTCCCTGGACAGAACCTCCCTCCATGGTATCTCCATGCTCTCTAACCTCGTCTGCATGCAGATAGATATAGAAATATATATCCTATATTCACACACAGCCTCACCATATTTTTTACTGCCAATTCCCACTTTTATTTGTCCCAATCCCATAGACAATGCAAATATTCTATAGCAAAAGAATAATGTATGATAATGTTCAAAATGAGGATGCATTCATAAGACAGAAATAAATATCTGCACCTAGCCTCTCTCAAATGCGGCTTTCATCTGCGTCTTTAAGGCAAATTAACCTGGTAACTGAAACAAAGAGAAAATATATTTTTTATTGAATTACCTGAATATTTCAAGAGAGTAGTTCACTGCCAAAATGTGTTTTGGGACCCAAATTATAAAGATTTATCCCAAAGCTCTGTCCAGAGTGCATAATTCTGGCCATGTTTTCCTCTCCACAGTCCCCTTCCTTCCCGCAAAGACAATAGGTGAGCAGCTCACAGTGCTGAGGGCACAGCAGGGACCCACCACAGGCTCCTGGCTGAGAGGGACACAGACTCACATCCCCACAGGGACTCAGGGCACTCTCCCCAGAGCCCCCCAGAATTTCCCTCGGAGAACTCCGGGTGGGGTCCACAGGTCATCACTCAGAGAGACCCTAGCGAGCTGTGCCATGTGCTCTGGCCAAGGCCTTCTTGGAGAAGCTGAGGCTGGCGGGCGACCCAAAGGGTGCCTACCCATTTTGCTCCGGGTCCTGGCCTCCCGCAGGCCTGCCTGTCCAGTTAGTAGGTCTTCCGTGCTCAAAGGGAGTGCGGGTGGCCATGGACACAGAACCCCACAGACAGACATGAGCCCCATCCTCTCTCTTCACCCATCTACAGCTGATCAATACCCTGGCTCCCCACCACAACACCCACAAACGGCGAGCCCAGACTAGCGGATGCACACGTGCACGCGCACACAGACTTCACCATCACTTCCTGGCCCACTGTGTTCTCCACATATTCTGCCTGTAGTTTACCTACTTTGTTTCCTCCTGGACAAAGAAGATGTCAGAGATTGTCCCTGCCCTCCAGAGGCTGTCCCGTTTACCACCCTCCAGGTAGTTTCTTGTCTGAAAAGGGAACAGCATGGCTTGATATTCAACCAATTCCAACTCCCCTGCAGGTGCCGGGTTCTCCTCGGGGTCCTTCTTGGCTTCTATCCCTGTCTCCATTGGAATCAAGACAGATACCCTTGAACCAGAGCAGTGGGAGCTGGGTTGTCCAGCAAGCCCGGTCAAAATCACATAGAAATTGCTTCACGGGAACATGGACAGAATGGGGGTCCATGTGGACGCAGTCAGGGCAGTTTAGACCGCTGTCTTTTTCTTTGTGCGTGTGGAGGGTGTTCTCTCCTTAGTCTGTACCTTCTATTCAAACTGAACACCTCCCAGAGCTCAGGCCACAGTAAAAGGCAGAAGGGCCTCCTTCTTTATCTAGCCACATGGGGGAATTTTGATATATGTATTTTCAGAAGTCAGCTAAATACGTCCATGTTTCTCTTGGCATTGGTTTTTGAGGAATTCCAATTAAGTCTGATTTGATGAGGGAGTCTCTACTAGGAAAACAAAAAACCTGCGTCCTGTACTCTTCCCTCTCAACAAAAATACAGCAGTGGCTGAAAGGTTGGTCTCATGGTGCTGGAGGGGGGAGAGTTTTCCTCTTCTTCTGCTTACAGCGCTCTAGGGAACACAAGAGGGAGAGGGAGAGGGAGATACTTGTGAGGAAAGTTGCTGGTGTGTCTGGAGAAATGCAGCCCCAATTTGGAATGCAGCTAAGTGGTTTGCGGCAAATCTTTGAGGGGCTGTCTGTCTGAGTGGAGAGAAAAGGCCAGAATGCCTGGTGTTTCTCTGGGGGATACAGGGGTGCATTTAGGGAAGGCATTAGCAGCATGCTGCCAGGCAGGTCTACCTGTGAGAGTGTTTAGGGAAGTTTCTTTTTTTGCACCTGTCCTGGAGGAACAGGGTCCTCCTGTGTATTCTGAACTGCAGGGCACCTGGGAGGGGACAAGAGGGAACAGTGGAGCGAGTGGATACTCTATCCCTGCCTGTCTCCTCTCCTCTCCCACTGGCTCGGTGCTCCCTATTCCAGGGTGTGTGTCTGTGAAGTATTGGCACCTGGAAGCCTTCCCCTGAGGTAAGGGCCTGGAGACCCTGTGGAAGCTAAGCCCGCAGAGGGAAATGCTGGGGAACACCCTGTGACCATTCTAGTAGGGAGCCTCAGGGCCCTGTTATTCCAGCATGTTCTGTCCTTGAGGGACGCACCAGCTTAACCCACTGGCCATTCGCTTGGCTCTAACCAGCTTGGCTTTGTCCTAGGTTGGGCACACTCACAGTAAGACAACCTGGGCAGGCCTGGGGATCAACAGTGGTCCCTTGGACGGCACCCACCCAGGGACCACCTAGCATTCAAGGCTCCAAGGTCACAGGAGAGGCCTGTGTTAACCCTATTCCAGCTCCAGGTGTCTCTGCTTCGAGTCACTTAGGGGAGTGCAGGGTGGCGTCGGCTCCCTGGTGGGGCAGCAGCTCCGAGGAGCCCACCGACTGCTCTCCATGCTCCTGGAGGCACCCCGAATCTGGGATCTGCTGCCAGCTGCTGCATATGACTTAGGCTCCCGTTCGCCGCACAGGGTGGGTGAACCAGTAGTGCCCTGCTGAGCCTGAGCCAGGGCTGGGGAGTGGGCTGGAGGCTGGAGGGAGCCTTGCTGAGGCCAGTCTTCCCTCCAGCCTCCAGCCCAGAGCTGAGGTCCCCTTCCTGCAAGAAGGGAAAGAGGTCTTGGCTCGCTCAGGCCCCAGTGTCCCCCGGAGGAGTCCCACACTTCCAGAATCTTCCCCTCTCTGTTTTGAGCTGAAAACATGGGAGGTTCCTGCTCATCCTAAAGGTCAGGGGCGCAGTTTGGGAAGGATCAGAACCGGAGAAGCAGAGAACATCCTGACGGGAGGAGGGAGGAGAGGTCGATCCTCCGGTTAGCTGGTTCTTTCGGAGGGGATTTCGCGCGATCGCTGTTCTACCTTCCCGCCTCCAGCCGCTGCAGTACACCTAGGGCCAGAGTGGAAAATGTGTGTTGGAGATCAGAGCCACCAATAGCAATACGCTAGCCTTGCCAGGCGGGTCTCGGAGTGCGGGCGGCAGCCGGAGACTGGGAATCGGCGCACAGACGTGGTAGCCCCTCCCCACCCCCGTAGCCGTTCCGGCAAAGAGGGGAGCCCCAATTGTGAGCGGCAGCCCAGCCCGGGAAGGGGGAGGGCGGGGCCGACTGGGGACCGAGGGGTGACGTCAGGCTAGGTAGAGCCAATCAGAGACTGGCCTGGGGAGGGAGTGCGAAAGGATGAATGAAAAGTCCGGAGCCGGAGCGCGCGGGGCCAGAGCGGCGGCGGAGGCCGAGCGCGGAGGTGGGGAGCTGAGACCCCCGCGAGCTGTTCTGTCCCGGCGTCAGCGGAGCGCGGTCGCCCGACACCCAGGTCCGCGATGCCCCGCGGGCTGCAGCCGCGCGGAGGACGGCGCCGAGGGCTCCGGCGGGCACCGGCGCTCACGTAAGTGGCCTGGCCGGCGTGGGCGCAGGTGGGCGCGCGCCGGGGAGCCGCTTGCTGTGTCTTCCCCTCCGCGCCCTCCGGCCCTGGACCTGCCCTTGGTCGGCCGGGCCAATCGATCGCACCCTCCCACCCCTAGGCGGCTCTGCTCACGACCCCACCGCGATCACGCGTGGGGGCTTCCGGGCCTCCCAGTGCAAAGCTGCAAAGCCGCTCTGGCAGGCTTGGTGGGCCGGGCTCGGCTCTGCGCGCCCGTCCCGCGTCTTTCCCGGATCTCTCGCTGAGTGAGGCTTCGCTAGGGAGACTCGGGGCGCCCTACACCTGCTCCCCAGCATTCCCTCTCCCGGCGCGCGAGGATTCCCCCACTTGCTGGGGTACCCGGGCCTCACCCCTCCTCCGTTGGCAGCCTGGCTCCGCTCTTCCCTCGCGGGCCCCCTTCGCCCCTGCCGCCCTCGCGAGTGGGGATGCGGCCGGGCCACTCCGCGCTGCGTTTCCCACGCAGGCCCGCCCCGGCCGCTGACGACCAGTCTCCGGAAGGGGCGCTGAAGCCCGGCGGGGTCGGAAGCCTCGGCGCGGTCCCTGCGGGCTTCCCGGGTGGCGCGAAAAGCCCGAAGTCCCTCGTCCTGGCGCCGGCGGGACTCCCTTGTCGGAGAAGAGAAGGGGCGGCGGGAGGCGGGAAGGGGCGGCGGCGCTTTGGATCTGGGTGGGTGATCCCGGACCTGACACCGGCCGGCCCCTCCCCGCGCCTTTTCCGGCCTCTCGTGTCGTACCCGGTACCGTCCGAGTCTTGGATCCGTACCCCATCTCTCCGCACCCTCCACGCGTCTCCTCCCCAGCCCCCGGGCTGCGACTGGAGGCTGCGGAGGCCCGGGCGGCGGCGGCGGCCAGGCGGCTGCGTGGAAGAGGCGGCGGCAGCCAGGAGGCGGGGTTGGTTGTTATCTTTGGTTATCTAGCTGTATGAGTGGTGTGGAGTCTTCATAAAGCTAGATAACCGAAAGTAAAAATAACCCCATGCACGGCGCACAGGGCCGGGGCGCGCGCGCGCGGCGGGCAGGTCTGGCGCGGAGGACCCGGCCACTCAGACTCCCCGGTAGGCGGCGCCCCGGCCCCTCCCTCCCGCCGGGCTGGCTCCGCGCCGCCCGCCGCTCCCGGGCAGCTGGGTCTCGGCTTGAGAGCTGCGCCCGGAGCAGTGGCTGGCAACCTTTGCAGGGCTGTGCAGGACGCGCGGGACTCCGGGCCCAGGCTTCCGGAGAACCTGGGGGCGCTGGGGAGCAGTTTCCCTCCAGGCTGCGCGGGTATTGCTGGCGGGTGTTCGAAAACCCTGGTCTGGGCTTTGGCCCTCTCCCCAAGCAGGTTTGGTTGGGAGTGGAGAAGGCCCAAGGGGGCTGAGGGGCACAGGGCCGGACCGCTGGGGCGGAGCAGGGGTTGAACCTACAGAGGAACCAATGGGACGGGCTGAGTGGAGACCCTTTTGCCCAGCCTGAGATCTGGGGCCACCGATGCAGAATCTCTCTGCTTCCTTTCCATACTCTCCCCTCCTTTGGACACTGCAGTAAGTGATCCTTTAAAAATATCTCCCGCTGCTTTGTCCTGAATGACCAAAGGGGTTGTGGAGTCTTTCAGGGAACCCTACCCTCTCACCCCAGCCCTGCACTTGGAGATCGCAGCCAAGAGCAAATGGCCTCAAGGAGCTGGAACACAAAGGACTTCGTAGTTTAGTGTCTCTGCTGCCCCGAGAAAGCAAAGAATTAGTGAGATTAATCAGGCCCTTTCCTAAAAGAATCCATTTATCTGGCCTGACCTAAATATTTTAAGCAAAAAAAGTGTTAGGTGGAGCTGAGAAGAGGAGGGTCTAGAGTCGCTTAGCAGAGTGAAAGTAAATGTGGTCAAAGGCAGAGGCTCCCCACATCTCAGCCCGTTTCCTGGCCTTCTGGGACACAGGGCAGGGAGGCAGGGAGGAGTACAAGGGGGCAGGAGCGAGGACTGGGCAAGACGACATTTAAAATTTCCTCCCAGGACCTGATTATTATAGCTAGAGGATAATGATTCAATTGTATATTATGTAGGAGAAATATTGGAGAATTCAAACATTTTTTTTTTTTTTTTTTTTGGAACTGGGGATGGAACTTGGGACCTTGAACTTTCCAGGCAGGCAGCAGAACCACTGAGCTAAATCCCCAGCCCTCAGACATTTTTAATCATGGGCTGCAGGGAGCTTGGAACACGTATGACTCCTTCCCTTAGAGGTTTGCAGGCTGGAGAGATTAGCACTTTTTCAGCTGCTTGGAATTTGGGTTTTCTGGAGGGAAGGGGATGGAGCCTGGATTAGAGAGAAAGGGAACAGGCTTTAGACTGGGACTAATAATCCCCAACACTGTACCTGCATGCCTTTCTTCACCCTCCCAACTCCAAGGACTGTTGTCAACCCCCTTTTACAGACAGCAACCATGCACCAAAAGGGCTTCAAGCCCAGAGCTTTTCCCCGCCGCCCACCCGCCGCTGAGGCTGCCCTGGAAGGGAGGGAACAGTTCCGGAAAGAGGGGAGGCAGCCAACCAAGGACAGCCTGATTGTGAGGCATCGAGAAAGAGGCTTCCAGACAGGCTTGGTGCTCCTCCTAAACACTCTTTGCCTAAAATATTTAGGTCAGGACAGATAAATGGGTTCTTTTAGGAAAGGCCCTGATTAATCTCTCCCAGCTACCTCAGAGGCTGAGGCAGGAGGATCACAAGTTCAAGGCCTGACTGAACAACCTAGTGCCTCAAAATAAAACTGGGGGGGGGGTTGAGACAGGGTCTTAATTTGTAGTTCAAGCTGGCTTGAACTCAGTATGTAGCCCACGCTGATCTGCCTACCTCCCCAGTGCTGGGATTACAGGCATGCTTCACTTCAAAATAAAAATTTTAAGGGGCTAGGGATGTAGCTCAGTGGTAGGACATTTGCCAAGCATGGATGAGACCCTGAATTCAATCTCCAGTACTGCCCCCCAAAAGCTTTCTGGTTGGTTTCTTTTTCTTTTCTTTGATTGTTTATTTTTATTTTGTTATGTTGCTGGGGATCATACCAGGGCCTCAGACATGCTAAGCATTGACAAGCTCTCTACCACGGATTACTGCCCCAGCCCCTGCTGCTCTTTTTAACTTCTGTATCTTGTTAGAAATGTGTATTTGGGGCCCAGGGATTTAGCTCAGTGGTTTCCTGGCCTGCTGCACAAGCACAAGGACTGGAGTTCGATCCCCGGTACCAAAAAAAAAGAGAAATGTGCATTTGGGATCCTCAGGTTCATCCACGTGAAATGGAGAACCTGTACTACTAAGCACAGTGAGTTTGTTATTAATGTTGTCTCCTAGGAGCACAGGATCCTTCAGAGGAGAATACAGGGCCTCAGGGAACCGAGAGTTGAAGGGTTGCACCCTACAAATCAAGCACCTCCGTGGGAAGGAGGGATGGAGGCCAGGAGGGATGGGGGAGGGTTTATGTCTGCATTGTGTGTGCTATGGTGTGTGTGTGTGTGTGTGTGTGCACTTGGACGCATATGGGTGGGGTTGCCAGGACAGTGATGGTGGCTGTTTGTAAGCCAGTGTGAGGGTGGTTGTGTGTGGTACTAGGGAGCATGGTGGGGGAGTAGGGGCCCTGGCCACTCCCAGATAAACCCACTGCAGGAGCAGCACAGGCGTGGAAGTGATGCCCCCATAGTCCTTCCCTCCTCCAGGTAATCCCAGCAGCAGATCACAGGACAGGGAGGCTGTGGCCAGGGGCTCCAGAGAGCCTGCTTAGCGACAGGTCAGGAAAGCCCCTGCACCATCATTCCTCTGCTTGTGTCCAGAAGCTTTAGTTCTGTTCTTTAGGTCTTGCTAAGCCCACCTAACTTACTGGAAAGCAGATTCTATGCTGGAGATTTAGCTCAGTGCTTCCACTGCCTGCCTCGAAAGCACAAGGACTCGAGTTCGATTTCTGGTACCAAAAAAAAAAGAAAGGAAGAATTCTTGGAAAGCAGATTCTAAGTTGATTGTTGGTTTATCTTTTCCCCTCAATCCCTCATCCTAATAACCTCCTATTGAATTCAGCTCAGGCAGGCAAAGCCAACTTTCTCCTAAGTATTTGACTCAAGTTTACATTATTGCTCTTACCCTCACCCTGGGACATTTTTTCCCCCTAGCTCCAGGCATTGAAAGAGTCTTGTGGAAAGGTCCTTGTGGTCATAAGAATTATAATAACCACCACAGCCTGGCAGCCTGGGGAGAGAAGAAATGGAAAGCATGAATGTCTCCGAACCAAAGTCCATGTTTAGGAGCCAGCATTTACAGCTATGCACTTCACTGCACCATCTATTTACTTATATATTTTACAGTACAGTATTGGGGATTGAACCCAGTGCCTTCACATGGAGCTACCTTTCCAGTCCTTTCTAAATTTTTTATTTTGAGAAAGGGTCTATAAGTCACTAAGTCATTAAGTTGCCCAGGCTGGGCTCCAACTTGCAAACCTCCTGCCTCAGCCTCCCTGAGTGCTGGGGTCACACAACCAGTGACCTCTGAGTCTTGATTCATATATCTCTGTAATGGGGATAAAAATGATGCCCTTAATATTTTTGTTTTTGTGGTGCTAGAGATCAAAAGCCACTGCATTTTATCCCAGAGCTCCCTCAAGGTCGGTCGTTAGATGCAGCATACAAAGCATTCTCTGCAACCCGCCCCACAACATTTGTGGTGCCTGTGGGTGGGAGAGGTCTTTAGATTGCAGGCAGGTCCAAGGCTCCAGTTTGGAAAGACTACTTGAGAGTGTGTGCTTGATCTCAGGATGTGGAGACCCAGCTCTGGTGTGTTTGTAATGGAGGCTCTTACATTCAAGGATGAACAACTGCCTCCTCTTTTTTTCAGCTTTGAGAATCCAGAAGGGGCTCCTGGGGGCCTGGTGGGAATACAGAAGCCTGTGGGGGAGAAAAGGCTGAGCCCACATGGCAGAACAGCCACTGGCCTGGCGTATTTATGAGAGAGTGTCTGTCTCAGAGGCCTCTTGCATTCTGTTCTTCCAAGGTTGGGGAATTGCAATGGTGGCACTTAGTTCCTTGCTTCCCTCGCTTCCCAGTGTTCTGGGTCAGGCCGACCTTCCCAGATTCCTTTCCTGCGCTACGCGGACCTCAGAGATCAGGGAGCATAGCACTGTCTGGTCCCCAGCCCGGCTTCTAGGTCAATGCTTTTAAATCACCGAAGGAGACTGGGACAGAACTAAAGCCATCCCTGGGCCTTTGAGGAGCCTGAGAGGCAGGACGATGGGTGGAAAGTGGGCGGGTGTGCGTGGCTTTGGAGGTTGGAGGAGGTGAGTGGAAAGGGGAGTCCCCTCCTCCCCTCCCAGGCTCTGCCAGGGCTAGGGACACCCCTCCTCCTGCCCTAATCTCCCCATTAAGGCAGCTCTGAGTTTGTTATGACAGCAGCTGAAGGCGGCTGAATTGCTGTTGGCTGTGTCTGCTAATTGGCCTGAAGGGTTGGAGTCTGGACACTGAAAGGGACCATTGTTGCTGTTTACCTTCCACAGCCACCTCCTGGGGACCTCAGGGTGAAGAAGGGGAGCAGTGGTCCTCAGGTCTTTCCACCTACGCCTGCTTCTGTGGGAGGACTGGCGGGGGGGGGCAGTTCGGGGCCTCACCTTGGGCAGCAGGGGCGTCCACAGCCCAGAACAGAAGCCCAAGGCCTGGGAGGCTCCAGGCCTGGCCTGGGGTCATCTGTGAACTCACGGGCACCTTGGGCAGGGGACCTGTGTGCCTTCTTTCTCCTCCCTGTCTGTGCCTTCCTTCTTTAGGGGTGTCTTCCTCCAGCCAGCAGGCTTCACCCCTGCACTTTTTCTTATCTGCTTCTTTCTAGGCCACTGATTCACAACTTGGTTATGCATGAAAATCATTAGGGGAGCACTTTTAAAAAAATACAGATGTTTGGCCCAGCCTCAAGCCAATGAAACCCTGGAATGAGGTCCAGACTTCAGTCTCCTTTACTGAACAACTTGGATTACGAACAATTGTGTAGTCTCATCTCTCTGCCTGAGACACACACACACACACACACACACACACACGCACGCACACACACACTCCTTGGTCCATCCCTGCCTGTTTTCTGCCTAAGTGCTTGATATCTACAATGCTGTCAGGCAGGGTGGTGTCTCTCATCTTTATTGCTAAAGTCCTTGTGGGAGCCTTAAAACTTAGAGCACCCTCCCCCCCAACCTGAGCTCTTTCCTAAGGGCAAAAAGAAGCACTGACTCCATCTCCTTCTGGATTTCCCACTAGGGTCTAGAGGGGGTTGGGCTAATCCAGGGCACCTCAGTTCGGTCGAGATAAAGGGCTGGGAAGCTCAGAAATTCCTTGGCTCTGACACTGTCCTTCCTTCCTAACCGTATTGGCCATTTGGAGGTCTTCGGGGAGGAGACGTTCTGCTGGGTGCATTTCCCCTTTCCTTACTGTATCCAAATGTTTCTGCTTCTCTTCCTTTTAGTTTCTGACCAGAGCTGGGGCGGGTGGGTGCCCCTCCACCCTCCCGCCCTCTTTCCTTCCGGTGGATGACGGAGCCGCGTCCAGCACCGCGGACAGCTCCCGCGGTGAGTGAGGCGCCGGCCCTCTGGGAGGGTGAGAAGGGGTATTCCTGCCTCTACACCAGATGTCAAACGCTCTACGACTCCGACTCTGAGGATTTGCTAGCCTTTGGCATTCCTGTCTGCAGGACATCAGATTAGTCCCCTTGTGAGGACTCAGAATGACAGGGCCTGCTGCAGTAGGAGGAAGGATGAAAGTGAGATTTTGGGCGGAGTCATCCTAAGGCGCTGTGAGACTTGGGGTTGAACACCAGGGAAAGCTCGCTGGAGCCCTGTGCCAGCTCACAGTCCCAGAGGAGTGAAGAGGGTGATCCAGGGTGCACAGCTGGTTGGTGGAAAGCCAAGATGCAGACGCTGAAGTCAGCCTGGCCCCTTCTACACATCTGATGCCTCCTTAGGACTCCCCTGGGTTAGGCAGAGCAAGTCTAATGTGGTGGTGGTGGGGGTCACAGGTTGCTGTCATACAAAAAAAGGGCAGGATGCACATCTGGGCTTGTGGAGTGTCCATGAAAGCCAGAAAGAGGTAAATTGGCTGCTGTCCCTGGCCTGGAGGGGGCCTCCCGGAAAAGTGCAGGGGAAGGCACACCTAGCCATAGCCCGCAAGCCATGAGAGAAAAGGCAAGGAGCCACCATCTGCCAGGCCACAGAAGCCAGTGGATGGCCACAAGGAGTCTCCAGAGGCCAGCGGGAGTCACACAAACTGGAACGAGGCCTGGGAAAGGCCCTTCTGTGTGCCCATGCCTGCTCCCCCAACACCGTGAGCCTAGGAACAAAGAGGCCTTTCTCTTGGATTTGATGCCGCCATCTCTGGCTGGCAGTGCCAGGTGGCGAGGGCATGGGGGGGGTGTTGATCCATTATCTAACCCCCCACCTCCTAAGTCCTCTGGGGCTGGATGTTGGGGAGGTGGGTGCTCCACAGCTATGTTTCCATGGCAACCACCCCCACCCCCCCAAAGCACAAAGAGAGACAGCTTTCACCCCACCTCCAGGAAGAACCTGGGTCTGGCTGAGAATCTTCCTCTGGGAATACTCATTCTGATGCACAAGCTATGGCATGCATAAGCATCATGCTCTTAGCACCCAGAGCAGAAGGTTCTGGCATCAGCGGCCATATAGGCAGGGAGGCTGGTGTACCCTGTCTGGGCAAGGTTGTTCAAGTGAGCACCCTCCCATGAACTTAACCCTCCTCTCCCCAAGCTCTCCTGCCTCTCACCTATGGCCAAGGCCATCCTAGGTCTTCTCAGTGAAGCAATGGGCCATGAGCTTCTACTCCTTCCCGGAAGTGAGGGATATCCCATCACCCCCGAGAAACCTCCAGGTTGTGGGACCGGAGAAGAGGAGGGGGCCATTTGTAACACCCTCCATCTGCACCCTCCACCATTACTCATTAAGCATTCTGCCCCCTCCTTCTGCTCGTTAGACCTAATTTGCATACATTTGCATAATACGATTCATTTGCATTCCAGGAGGCTCATGGTAGAAGCCAGGAAAAAGGGGGGGGGGTTAGAGAAGAGAGAAAAGGGGAGAGATTTTGTTTTCATCAAAGTGTGGGGGGAGGGGTCTGGGGAGGTGGCAGGAAGAGGACAGAAATAAAAACTCACACTACTTTCTTTCTTCCCTTCTGCCCTCCCTCCCTGGGCTGGACTCAAATGCCAAAGAGAGATGCCAAGGGGCCGGCTTTTCTGTCCTTTTTTGTTTTGCTTCCTCCGGCCTTGGCTCCCCAGCCTGGCCCCCCACCTTGTTGGGCTCAGGCTTCAGAGAGAAAGAGGCAGGGGTAGGAAGCAAAGCTGTGGGAACGGAAGCAGAGGGAGTGAGGGAGGCCGCCATCTTAGGTAACTGGCGCCTGTAAAATGGCCGCCTCTGGCAGGTGTGGGCTGACAGCCAGCCTTGGTTGGTGGACATGGAGAGTGAGACCGTAGGAAGGATTTTCTGGCTGATCAGGAACATGGTTGAATCTTCCTACTAATGGAGCGAGGAGAAGGGGAGAAGAAAGAGTAGGCCAGGAAGAGACATGAGATTCACCACTGAAGCAGGATAGTAGAGAGAACTCAGCACTGTATGTAGGTCCCAGAGCACTTGGAGCACTGTGGATAATGTTGAAGGCACTGGGGATATCAGAGCGGGGGTACCAGCAGAGAAGGGAGGGTGAGCTGTGGGCAGCCAGGATCATCTGCCAATTTGCAGGTCTCTCAGGCCAGTGAAAAGCCATTGTGTGTTGGAAGTGACGCTTCATTTCCTCTCCTCAGCCTAGCAGGCTGGCCTCCATCCTCATAGCGATAGTGAAACTGCACTCTCTCAAAACCCACTCATGGCCTCCTCAGTGGGGACTGCCGACCCCTCCTCAGGATGGGCCCTCCTTGTCCTCTGTGGAAAATTTCATGCTGATATCCTCCCAGGCTTCCCCTTTGGCCTTTGGTTCTTCTGTTATACATCAATTATTTCCTCTTTGTTCCACTCATTGAGTCCTCTGAATCAACCAGTTCCCCAACTGTATGTGTTCCTCAAGCTTCCACTGTGAGCACTCAGTCATTTTCTTCCTTTCCTGTCTTCTTCATTTTCCTCACTTCAGCCATCCACTGAAGTTATACGCTTTCACTCATTTCTTTAATCTTGACCTGCCTAAAACTCCAAGTTTACACCCCAACTACTACCTGAAGTTGCAGCCATTAGCTCCCAGGTCAGAGATTAGAAAGATCCCATACCCAGCCCCGAGCTGCAAGGGGTGCTGGGAACATGCCTGTGTTCTAGCTTCTGTGGTGGCGGCGTGGAAGTACCAAGACTCAGGGAGCCATGTCCAAGGGTTTGGTGCTAACACTTCTGCTCCCCATCTCTGTCAGTGGCATCAGACTCTGAAGCCCTCAGGTTCAAATTCAGGGCACTATCCTGGGCTTGCCCCTTCCAAGTCATTCCCCTCAAAACTTGTTACTTCCTCCTTTGTGGCACATCGTGCATCCCTCCCTTTCATTCCCTTGCCTCTGCCTGCATTCAGCTCATTTACTCGGCTAGCATTCGAGGCCTACTGTGTGCCAGGTGGCACGTGAAGGAGAAGGTAGAGTCCAGAGCTGCTGTGGGGAACTAGCAGTCTACCAGAAGGCAGACGCCATGCAGGCCGGCGCAGAGGGCTGGAGAGGCCTGGAGAAGGGGCCTGCAGGCCCCTTTAATCTCTGAGGGAGGCTTCCTGGTTAAGTGTGTACACAGGCAATAAGGGTTTGTCAGTCTAAGGAATCTGAGGAGGTGGGTGGTGGAGAGGAGACAGCATGTGTTTGGGAATCTAGCCTGTACCTCCAAAGGAGTTCCATGGTTAAGAGCCAGTTCCAAAAAAAAAAAAAAAGTATCGAGCCAGGTGTGGTAGCATACAGCTATGAACACAGGACTTGGGAGGCTGAGGCAGGAGGATCCACCTCAAGTTCAAGGCCAGCCTGGGCTACATAGGGAGACCCTGTCTCAAAAAACAAAACAAAAAGAGAGAGCCTGTCATGCCACATGAGGGAGGCTAGATTTGCTGATGGGGTGCTGGGGAAGAGAGACCCTAGGCATAGGATATGGGTGGGGAACAATGCAGAACTACTCCAAGGAGGGCTAGGGACCCCCACATCCTGCTGCCCACCGAGCCCAGCTCCCAGCAGACATCTTCCTGGCTCTTGGCTGGTTCCGGATAATTCAGGAAAGTGTGAAGGCCTGGGGGCCACCTGAGGGAAGGATGTGCCCCTGCCGCCCCTTTCCAGGATCTCCCCCTGGCACACACACACACCCACGCACGCACGCATGTTGTGGTAACTCTGGGGAGAGACATGGAAGAGCTGAGAGCCGAGGTTGGGTCTCCAGCACACTGAGCCTCCTGGAGGCACACGAGGATGCTGGCCCTGACTTTGTGGGGTAACCAGTGAGTCTCTGAGCTCTCTTGAAAAAGACAAAGTTCAGAGGTCAAGGTCTGCATGGCCAGGCAGCTGGAGCAGAGAAACAGAGGGGTGGCTGAGAGGGCTCTGTGGAGAAAGGGGGTGAGGAGCAGGAGGGGCAGCTGGGGAGATGAGGAGCTGGAATGGAAGCGGGTGCCCACTGCCGCCTTGCCCCCAGGCCAGCTTTGCACAAAGACCTCTCTGTGAGCGCTGGGCAGTGTCCCTGTCAGGTGAGAGGGTTTAGCTGCCTTAGGGCCCTGGGGCTGGGGCAGTATGGAGTTGGAGGAGGGGAAGTCTGGACCGGAAGCAGAGGAGCTGAGGCCGTGCAGAGCCATTTCCAGTGGGACAGCCTCCTGTCCCCAGCTCTAAGCTTCTGTCCCTGCCTGCTCCCCATTTTACCCTGCTGTGCCTGCCAGGTCTCTCTGGCCTTCCTTCTGCAGCTCACACAGCGCTTTCCCAGGGCACCTTCAGGCCTGACAAACCCGAGGCTCCTCTCCTCTCCTGGCAGGGCGGAGCGGCTGTCAGGGTTCCCCCAGTTCCTGCCATGGCCCCTCTCAGGGGAGAGCCGAGAGGGATGGTGGAAAGACAAGGCTGACCAAGCCAGAAAGGAGTCCTGAGGCCACTTGTTCCCCGGGGGACATTCTCTGACCTCCTCCACGGCCAGGCCCTGGTGGCTCCGTGATCCTCCTGGCAGCTGTTTGGATTAGGACGCTTGCAGAGCAGAATGGCTGCAGCCACTGCCCCAGCCTGCACCCGTGCAGATTTGGTGAGTGGGGCTCTGTCACGGAAGTGGGAGATTTGGGGTTTTGGCCCAGCTTGGACAGGCTGGTCGGGATGCAGATTCTGGCTTCCTTCCCTTTCTAGCAGGGTGGCCTTGGGGTCTGATTTACCCTGAGGATTGGCTGCGTGTGTAAGGAAGGCTGTGTGCACATGTCCTGATAAAACTCAATGCCAAGGGCCGGTTGCAGGGCCACTAGGTGGGTGAGAGCGATGGGAATGATTCCTGGGGTTGAAGTGTGGGCCTCAGATGGCAGGGGGGAGAGCAGAGGGGCTGGGGTGCGATCCCAGATGAGCCCGTTCAGGGAACTCAGGGCCCCTGTGGCTGAAGCTCTTGGGGTCTGGACCAGGTGAGCCACTGGCTGAGGGGCTGAGCGGAGCTTGTTTTCATAGTGTGGTGTTCTCGACACCTTCTCAGGAAGGATAAGCTGCTGGCCACGTGCACAAGGACCCAGCAGTGCTGGGAAGAGGAGAGGCAGGCGTCCCCAGGGCCCCAGAGTGCCCATAAGCAGCTGCACCCACCACTGTGTCCTCCAGGGCACCCAGGCCACATTACGGAATCGCTACGACGTGGACATGCATGGTACCCCGGAGTCCTGGGCCCTGGCTTTCTGCTCAGCACTGGCAGGAGTGAGCTAAGTTCAGTCTGTTTATACTGCCAGGCATGGGCTGGGAGCCTTGGAGCAGGAGGGTCTTTGTCTCCAAGCAGTCACTCCTGTCATACAAGCGAGAATCAGGAGGAGCAAAGGCATTGGCATCGTCCCCCGTAGATAGCAGCAGGGCCCTCGGCCCAGCAGGGAGAACCAGGTGAAGCTGGCATATGGAGGGAGAGCCCTGGGCGCAGGGCATGAGCTTCACCCGGCTGGGCTGCCTTCTGCTGGTCTGGTCCATCTGGCACCAGCTGGCCTCCCAGCACCGTCCCCGGAGCCAACCCACTCCTTCCTTTGCTGTTGCCATGACGATCGGCCGCCATCTTGTACTCCAGTGACCTCCTATCTGGGTTTTCCCATGGGGCTCCTGGAGGATAGGAGCTAGGCCCCCGTGAGTTTATCCCTTTCTCCAGATATTCATCCAATAAAATTCATATTGATACATGATTTTTTAAATGGCCAAAATGGAGGCCCACTATGCATCAGGCTCTGTGATAAGAGCTCTTTATGTGTTTATAGCTAAGAAAGAATTAATGAGCTAAGATTCAAGAATTCCTGATCCAATTTCCTGTCACAGAAACAGATTTTTCCTCTTTCCATCCAGGAAATTCTACAGCCTTACTTATTCCTGTCTTGGGAAATCCTTCCTAATGTCTAACCAAGACCTGCACTGCTATAGCACCAGTTCTTTGACCTGTGGCTTGACATGGCTGAGTGGAGAGGTAAGGAAAAACCTATACCTAGCTCTGGCTACTTCAGGGAGTCTCCTGGACCCCAGGTATTGAGAAAGAGAAACAGACCCCTCTGGCTTGGTGGAGGGACACCCATCCCTCTGAAGACTCGCCTGTCCCTGCTCAAACTGTTTGTTTGCAGAAGTCAGTGCCCAGAGTGTTTTGAGTAGGAGGGTCTTTTCTTCCTTTCAGCACCCCCAAAGGGGGCTAGAAGGGACAGTCTTCCAGGATTTCTGGTGGGGTTCTGTCGGAAGCCAGCCTTTCCCATCCCGCCACCAGCGAGTTCCGGCAGAGTCCCTGGGAGACGCTGGGGTGGAGTTCCTTACCTCTGGAGCTCCACAGAAGGCAGAGAATGATTACTTTGACCTCAAGGGGCATCTAGAGGGGCCAGCTTTGCCCAGAGGACCCTGAATGAGGAGCAGGTAGAAGAAGGAGGCTATTTTCAACCAAGGAAGGGAGGGCTGAAGGAAGGGACCCGGGGATAATTTATGATGTCATTATTCCCCACCCCAGTTTTCCAGCCACCACCCCTCTCCCCAGCTCCCTACACTGTTGCTAGGAGACCCTGGCTTGCTGTGTCTGGGGCTGGCCATGGAACCAGGGCAGGAGGCTCTTCCATCTGGACTCCTCCGCCCTCATTCAGGGTCCACCACCACCCTTCCCAGGCCCTGAAAGACACCCATGCCTCTTTTGTTGTTCCCCCAAATCTAGCCATCCTAGGGGGTTAGGGCTCCCGGGCATGCTGAGGCTCTAGAGTAGGGAGTGGGGAGGGGACAGAGGGACAGAGGTTGATGGAGGGGACTTGGAGGAAAAGCTGCCCACTCTGGGACACGTGAATCAGCCCAGCCCAGGACAAAGGTCACAGGCAGTCAGGGACATGGGCCTTGAGGCGCCCAGGCTTGAGGAGACATTCCTTAGCTCTGGGTGTCTCCCCAGGTGAGGACAAGGCAGAGTTCTCATCCCTACTACACTGTCAAGGTCAAGTTCAAGGTTAGGGACCTCAAAGGGGAGGGGGAGCCAGGGCTGGGAGGGGAGGCTGCCAGTCCAGGGGTGGGAAGGTGACCCTGATCTCAGGCAGCAATGGGGTGCAGGGAGATCCCCTCCTCTTTCGGAAACTGCATCCCTTCTCAGAGTTTGAGGCTCTTGGAGAAGTCAGTTGAGGTGAACTTGGGGGTCTCTGAAGTTGCTGTCTCCCATCCAGGAGGAAAAGAAGGCTGTGCCTGGTTTCCGGGCAGCTGGCCCTGCTGAATCCCCCCGGCCCCCTTTTGAGACAGGGTCTCACTGTGTAGCTTTGAAGCCCAGGCTAGCCTTGGACTCAAGAATTCACCAAGTCCTGGGACCTCAGGCGCATGCCACCCCACTGGCTGCGTGTGTCTTTCTCAGACTGGCTTTCCTCCTCGCCTCAGGAACGGGGAGCGGCCTCGAGTGGGCGCCTGCTCGGTCCTGCAAGTGCATTCTCAGCTGTTATCTCAGTCTTTCCAAGAGCCCTGAGCACTGGGCCATCCTGTCCCCACTTTTTACAGGAGAAATCAAAGCTTCAAGAGGGATGTGTCCCTCTCCCAGAGTAACGGGGGGGGGGGAGTAGTAAATGAGGCTGAGCTACAAATGGGGCTTTGTGGGCCCCAGAGTGCATGCTCCCTCCCTCCCTCCCCACACTGACTCCCTGTGGATGGACGGAGAAGAGGACAGATGGCCTCCCCCGAGTCTGAGTCTGAGGGGTGCTGAGGATGAAGACTGGACTGATGAAGAGGCTGCCTGCCTGGAGCTTGGAGCCACCCCAGTCCACTCGGGTTGCTCTCTACCCCAGGGAAGCACTTGCCCTCCCGATGCCCAAGCCACATTCCCTGGGCTTCCTACCTGTGCCCTGCACCTGAATTCTTGGGATGCGAGGCTCTGCGTGGGGAGAGCCCCAGGCACTGTCTTGGGCTCCCTTGTCACTGAAGCCCCCTAGCACCTCGCTTTTCCTGATGGGGGAGAGGCTTCCAAGGCCACAGGAAGTTTCCCCTCTGCCTTCACCTCAATTTTCCATTCAGAGTACTTTTTTTTCATTCTTGACTGATTTTCTTTTCAGGACAAAAAGTAGAGGCAGCTACTTCACACAGTTGTCCTGGGTCCCTCCAAGAAGTCTTCCTGTGGGGCTGGGGATTTAGCCCAGTGGTTTTGCCACCTGCTGCGCAAGCAAGCGCAAGCGCAAGGACCCGAGTTCGATCCCCTGTACCAAAAAAAAACAAAAACAAAGAAGTCTTCCTGTGTTGGTGCAAGATGAGGTTCAGCTCCAGCAGGCTGAAGCTGATGAAGGCCGAGCAGGAGTGGGGAGGACCCAGCCCCAGTCTGGACAGCCCAAGCCCCCTGGAGTCATCGAGGATCAAACCTTGTCTGACCCATTGCTCCCGTGTCCACCAGCTGCGCACCCTCGACCTGTCATCTCAGCTGGGACGCCCATGTCCTCAGAGAGCAGAATCTGGTCTCGTGTTCTAATAAAATCTCTTGACTATCGAGTGACAGCAGTGGTGGTGTGGATGTGCCTGGGTGGGTGGCAGGAGGGCTCCCTGGAACGGGTCAGTACTAATGAAGCCACAGTGTCACCCAGGCCAAGCCTCCGGGAAGCCAGGACCCAGAAGGAGGCTCCTCCCACCCACCGGGCCACCTCCTTGCTATCGAAAACCCCGCCCATGACCTGTTTTATTTAGGGGCTGGGGATTTAGCTCAGTGGTTCCTGACACCTGCCTCACAAGCGCAAGGACCGGAGTTCAATCCCCAGCACCAAAAAATAAAAATTTTTCTTAAAAGTTTTATCTATTTTTATTCATTTATTTTGTTTTTTTGAGGCAGGGTCTCTATGTAGTTCAGGTTAGCCTTGAACTCACTTTGTAGCTCAGGCTGGCCTCAAACTTGTTGACAATCCTGCCTCAGGTCTCCCAAGCACTTAGATGATAGGAATGAGCCATGATGAGTTTCAAAATAAAATTTTCTTTTGGTACTGAGAATTGAACTCAGGCCCTTGTGCTTTCGAGGCAGGTGCAGCGCTGCTGAGCTAAATCCCCGGTCACAAAATAAAAATTTTTTAAAAGGCTAGGAAAGTAGCTCAGTAGTAGAGTGCTTGGCTCACATATGCAAAGGTCTAGGTTCAACCCTAGAACCGCCAAGAAAGAAAAAGAAAAAAGAAAGTGGGAGTGAGCCTTCGACCTCATTTTACCTCTAACGCATCTGTGTCCAGCAGGTGCCTGCTGGAGAGTGCTAGCAGTTTCCAGACTGCCATCACCTGCTATGCTCTCCTCCCACCCCGCCCCAGAGACTTCTTCCCATCTAACAGTTCCTGCACGGAATTACACTCTGAATCCCAGAATCTTTCTAAATTAAAATGCTACTACCCATGGGAAAGGGAAGATGGGTCTCCTTCCCAACCCTGCCCCCAGCCTCACCTTCCTGGCCCAAGAGCCAACCTCTGGTACCGAGTCCCTGAGAGGCTCCTGGAGGGTGCTCAAGGCACACGCACATGCACACGCACACACACACACACACACACACACACGGCCCTCGTCCATCTGCATGAGACACGGCTGCCCACGAGGCCTGCAGCACGCGGGTCAGGCCCTTCCCAGAGCCTCCTGCCCAAGCCTTGTGGCCTCCCTGCCTCCTGATTTCACAGAGGAAACTGCAGAGGGGAAGGACCGCGTCCTGGTGCTAAGCATGGCAGGTGCCTGGCTTACATGCCAGGTCTTCAGGCCCCCAGGAGGGCCCACTGAGGCAGCGCACGCCGTAGGAGCAGTAGGAGTGGTATTCATTTCACCCCAGCCTGGCCTATCCGAGGGGCTGAGCCCAGGCCGCCAGGTCCAGGCGGTGGAGCAGGATCTGGCCCCACCAGTCAGCACCAAGAACACTGCTGCCTGCCCCTGCTTTTGTTTGGACCCAGAGGCTGGAGCGCAATCTTCCCAGGGCCTCAGCCTCTGGTGTCGGGAGCCTCGGCAGGCAGTGGCCACTGCCCCTGACCACCCTCCGCCTCACTAGTGGCCTCCTGCTTGTCAGGCAGGCTCCTGGGTGAAGGGCTGTGGTGGCTGGAGCAGGTGGGAAGGATTCACTGACAGGAGAGGAGAGGGAGGAGAGCAGAGACCCAGAGCCAGGCGGGCAGGAGGACTGGGTGGGGGGGCCAGCTGGGGGCCGCTGGAATGTGCTCCGAGTCCCACTGAGTCTATGCAGATGAGGTCTGTCTGTCTGTATGCAGATGAGGAGCGAGGGCATTCTCTTCTCAGGGTTACCATAGAGCCCAGCCCTCTGTCCCTCAGGCTCCAGCTGCAGGGCAGACGGAAGAGGCCAGACCTGGGGAGAGGCAACCTGCAATAGAGGGTTAGACTCCAGGAGGGACTAGCCAAAGACAAATGGCCAGTTCTGGGAAAGAAACTGAAGGTAAAACAGGGAATACAGAGGGGCTCCTGCGAGGATGGTGAAATGGTACAGGCGGACCTCCAAAGAACACCCAGGTACAGGAACACAGCAGGCCAGCTGGCAGACAGCACTGCAAGGGCCTGTGGCGGGCAGAAGGAGAGGAGCCGGGACGGACAGCGCCCTCAGCTCCTCTCCCTGTGCCCTGGAGCCCACGGTGGCCCCATGAGGCCCTTTGCAGAGGGCGTAGGGAGGCGGAGGCTCCAGGCCTGGTCCAGGCCGCAGGCGGCTGCATCCTAGACCGCCCTCCACCTCCCTGGCCAGCAGAGCCTGCCACAGCCCTTCCGACCTGAGGGAGATGCTGAGGGCAGCCTGTGCCCCAGGGGCACCCTGGTGGGTTCAGCATAGCAGGCTCCCATCTGCGGGCTGGGGGTGAGGCTTCTGGGGCAGCTGGCTGGGCAGAATCTGAGGGGTGAGGCCAGGACCCATGAGGCTGGTACAGTCGCCTTCACTCAGCATGTCCAGACCCAAGCCGGCCCAGCCCAGGGCCCCTTCCTTGAAGCGCAGAGGCTAGGGTGGAGGGACTCTGAGAACAGCCCCCCTTCCTCTAGCGGCTCCCAGCCCCCCACATCCAACAGGGCAGCCAAAGCCTCTATAGGGGGGCAGCGGGGAAGAGAGGCCTCTTGTTGGTCTGCTCCTCGTGCCGGAGGCTTGGCCTGTGCCAGCCCTGGCACGGCCGGACTCTCCTTCCTGGGGGTGCCGGCCAGCCCCACCCGATGCCCAGCTCCACCGTTTCCTGGGGCCTCAGGGCTTTGGCCATGGTCCCAGCTGAAGGATGGCAGGGAGTCCTGGCCCTCCACACCCCCTGCACCTCGCCATTCACACGCTGGCCCCAGAGCCGTGGGAATGCTGGATGGCAGCTGGGCATCCATGCCCAGCTCTGCCCACCCCCAGCCCCACAGACCTCAGAGAGGGGAGAGGAATAGGCTGCCCCCCAAAAAGCCCCTCCAAGATGGGCCCTAGAAATCCTGAGCGCTAATTATGAATCTGGGGACAAACAAAGCATTTGCAAGTCAATTAGTGACAGGACTTTCCCAGGAAAGGGCTTCATCCAGGCTGGGCTTCAGACAGGGCCACATGCTGGGTCATCCTGTCCCTCCCCCACCTCTGCCTGGCCTGCAGCTCCAGGAGCTCACCGTGTTCTGCCAGCCCTTATGTGCCGGGGGCTCCAGGGCCCAGAGTGGCCCGGGAGCGAGGGGCCAGGGGGGCTTCCCTGAAGTTAGCTGGAGCTCACACAGGGCTGCCACCAGGGGGCGTATGTCGCACCGGCCTCGATTCCACTGCCATGGGACCTGCTGGAAGGAGATGCAGAGAGGGCAGCCCTCCCAGACAGGGTGGCTGGGGTGACAGGAAAATGGAAGTCATTGTGAAGCGGCCAGAGATGCCTCCAGAGAACTCAGAGAAACCAGGACAAGGGGAAGGCAGCTGATTTCAGGCACCCCAGCATCTGTACCCAGGCCAGGAGGCACAAGGCCCTCAGGGTGGCAGTTCCCCTGGTGGAGAAACTTCCAGGTAACTAATCGGCCAACCCCATGGAATAGGAGACACAGCAAGCTGGGTGTGGTGGTCCACACCTGTGATCCCACACTGAGGGGGGCTGAGGCAGGAGGATCACATCAAATGTGAGTCCTGCCTGGACAACTTCATAAGGCCCTGTCTCAAAATTAAAAAAAAAAGTTTGGGGATATAGCTCAGTGGAAGAGTTCCCTTGGGTTTGATCTCAAGTACCAAACAACAACAGAGCACAGGATCTTGCTTCACACAGCCAGAGGGAGGCCTCGGCTGGGAGAGGGGCTCTCTGTGAGGGAGGACCCCTTAACTGGGGGGAGAGAGGATGGGAAAGAAAAGGGGCTGAACGGGGCAAAAGCCCTAGAGCCACCCCTGCCATCTGAGGGAGATTAAGGGATTATAATTAAAGCACATGTGAGGGGCTCCGAGCAGGTGGGTCGGGCTGGTGCTAACGATCTAATTGCTGCCCCTAGTCGGGCTTCCCAGGGCCTGTCTGCGGGGCCTGTAATGAGGGGAGGGGTGGGGGTCTTTTCTGCATGCAGAACACCCCAGCTGGCTTGCTCACACCCCAGGCCCTCCCTGAGGAACCAAGATGAAGGCCCAGAGAGGACCAGGAATGCGGAAAAAGTGCGCTTGGCCCGCCCACCCAGAGGAGGCTCTGAGACAGAGAGGGAGGGGAGAGCCAGAGGGAAGGCCTTGGAACAATTAGGGCCACCAACTACTGAAACTACTCTGCTCACCACTGCACTGTGCTAATCCTCTAGCAACTTCTTTAACCCTGGTGACACCCGCCACACCATGCAGACTTCAGGGAGACACCTGCCCTAGCCCGGCCCTCCAGCTAAGTAACACCAGGGTGCCAATGGCCAGACCCTTCTTCCTAGGAAGGGACAGGCAGGGAAGCTGGAGACAGGACTGGAGGTCAGGAGCAGGCAGGCTGCAGCCACAGACCGTGGCTAGGGGAGTCCGCCTCACACACCTGTGTGGCTTCTCCCTAGGACCTGGACAGGCATGGGAGTCACCCCTCTGGGCCTTGGTCTGCTGTCCCCTCCCCATGGAAAGCCCCCCTTTCACTTCCTGGCCACCCCATGCAATCCCGCCCCCCTGGCCCTGGGG